ACCCCCTCTCTAATTCCTTCTCTTTTCTTAGGTTCTTTGTATCCAGTAAATATTTTAATTACTCTTCACCCCTCACTTGTGATGGACACCTATTGGGTGTCCTGGCCCCTAATTAGAGAATTCCTCTATTTGAAATCTTTGATCCACTAGGTCAAAGTGACAGGTCCCAGCTGTCATGTTGTTCAAAATAACCCAACACCTTTGGCTAATGTTGAATTTTCCAAAATCAGTGACTAATGGTGAGTTGTCCAACACCCTTGACTAATGTTGAGATTTACAAGAGCATGTTCTTGACTAAAATAGGATCAATATTTTCTGTTTTCTGGATTTGTAATCTCACATGAAAGAAAGTCAAGTTGGTCCTTCTCAGTGTGTCTAGAGGGCTGACATCAGGATCCATAATCTTCTACTCATTGTGAGATCTAAGAAATGGAGGAGATAATTTTCAATAAGGGAGAATAATAGGACCAACAAGGTGAAAAAAGAAATGAGTTGGCAAATCAGCCATGTCATGATTGTGGCTAACTCAAGCTAGCTCTAGATAGCTTCTGTTATTTCCTTTCAACCTACTAAACCACCTGATTCCTGAGCTGGGCCCAGGAGAAGTTTGTGCATGAAGATGAGCTAATATTGACCACTGTGGATTCACTGCTGGCACAGAGATACACAGCTGAATCCTGCAGCTCTGTAGGTTGGATCTCCAGGCTACAGGGTGAGTTTTGAGGACACTTAGCTGAAAATCTCTCCTTGGGCATCTCTGTTTCACCATAAATATCTTCATTTTGGAAGGCAATCAAGAACTTGACCTCTTTTGCCTGGATATGTTGATACCAGAAAACATAACGGTGTCCTTCTTTGGGGACACAATACATTTTTCCTGTTTGTCCTTTCCCTTTCACCAGGTGCCCTGGAGTCTGGGTGACTTCTGCATCAAGGGCCCCTGTGAAGAAAGCAGACGAAAGTTGGAGACTTTGCCCATGAGGGAGTCTGATGACATGGAGGAAAGTCTTAAAGCAGGGTGCTGACAAGTTCAGAACAGGGACTTACCCGCATTCGTGAGACAAAGGACCATGAAGCAGACAACTATCAGGCACATGGTAGAATTAGGGAAAGAACAGAGGCAGGTGGCTTTCTCTGAGGCTTTTTCATCCCCTGTGAGCAGCTACTCTGTGACGTGATCACTTCAAGGAATCCAATACTCTTTATACAAAGACGCCTTTGCTTTCGTCACAGAGGAATCACTCCTTTAGATGACATCTTCAGCTTTTTCAGGGAATATTTAGAATCTTATGAAAATATTCTCCTAAAAATTAAAATTATATACTTCCTAGACCAAAGACTTATTTTGTTTCTTTGCTGCTTGATTTCTTCAAAGCATTTGACAAAATTGACTATACACAAAGTCCAGGAAAATTTTCTTCCCTGAGCTTCCTTGACATTGTTTTCAATTATATTTCTTATTTCCTGTCTATTCTTTTTTTTAAAGCAGTTTCCAGAAGCTAAATCTATCCATTAAATTTAGAATCCTGCTCTGTACAATTAAAAAACTAAATAGAATATCTTAAAGAACTGTACTCAGTCATTGGAAAACAGGCGGCGCAGGACTGTGATTCTTCTAAAGCAAGAAAAAATGAGGCAATGTCTACACACAGTGAGGAGGGAACAACAGAGCATGGAAAATTTCCTGAGCTGAGGAGACAGAGGTTGAAAGATAGAGGGGACTAAGGTGGCTAGAAATTGTGAGGAAGACGACCAGAGAGGAGGAAGCTATACCAAGAACTCCAGAAATCTTCATAGGGATAAGAAGGAATTTTTGTCTCAACAGAAATCTGTATCCGTGAGGATGAAACTTCAAAAAATACTAGAGAGGAACCACAGAAAAGATTCACCAGCATCCCCAGAATGCCCATGCTTTAGTGGTGGGACAAAATTAGGCTAGAGCAGGAGTTGGCAAGTTACAGCTGGGGGCTGGCCACCTGTTTACGTAAACAGTTTTATTGGGATGAGAAGCACTTCCAGAATGGCAGCATGAGGAGCTTTGAATACCCTCTTTCCAGAGAAAAAACATAACTGCTGAAAATTTAGAAACAACCATTTAAAGCCTCCGAAAATTTTCGCAAGATCCTACAGCAAGTAGAGAAACACTTATTGAAGAAAATCTACTAAATCTCCTTAAGAGCAGCGAGAGTCTGTGGCGTTTGAGCCAGACTACCTCCCTCCTGCACCAGCCCAAGCTCAGGGCACAGAAGCTCTGCTCCTTGTGGGTGTGGTGGAGAACACAGGGATCCTCCAGTTTCCCCGGGGAGGGGCAGGCTGCCAGCACTTCTCATTCCCACCAGCTCCATGTTGTAGAAACGCTATTGTTGGTGTGGCCCAGAGGTCTGGGCTCCCTTCCTCCACCCAGCGCCCATGCCCACTCATAGTGTGGACCCTCTATTCCAGGAACAACAGACCAAGAATACTAGGCCCCAATCTACCGCATTCTGGCTTGCTCATACAGCAGATGTTCCATGGTGGGAGGAGCAAGTCAAGAAGACCAGGGATACCACTCCACCCGGGGACCCACTCAGAGATCAGGCGGATCATTCTAAGAGAAGTGGGCACTGCCCCTGCCCCCCGCTCTGGAGCCGAGGTGCAGAGGTTCTGCCAATGAGAGAGGCAGGCCACAAGCACAGAAGCTCCATAGCTCCACTTTGGCTTAAGGATCCGCCCAGAATGGCTGAGATTTTCTTAGAACTGTAGTACAATCTAAGACATACTTTTCTTCCTTTCTTGCTTCCTTCCTCCCTTTCTCTTCCTTTCCTCCTTTCTTCCTTCCCTCTCTCCTTACAGGAGTCAGGTCTGCAGCACAGTCTGATGGCCCAGCCTCCTCAGCTTCCTTCTCATTTTCTCTCACAGGCGTTTTCTCTACTAAATCCCTTCATGACTAATCCAGGCTTGGAATCTGCTTCTTGGAGGACCTGGACTATTTCCTCTCTTCTAGGTGGGTTTGGGGCCCTTGATAAGGCTCACAATAAATATTAAGATCTGTAGAGGTAGCTAAAAGTTCCAGAAAATAGTTTCTGTAATTTCATGTGATGGCACTGGATCTTCACAGAGATTCTACTCTTAAAAGATGTCTACTCTTAAAATCTGCTGGGAATGAAAGTCCTGAACAAAAATGAGAGAGATGAGAGGAAGCTGGGATGAGACATACCCCAGGAAGGATCCACTCACTCCTGTAGAAGTGGGACCATGCAGTATTGGTCCGTCTGTGACAGGCTTACGTCATTTAGCATAATGTCCTCAAGGTTCATCCATGCATATTACAGAATTTCCTTCTCTTTTAAGGCCGGATAATATCTTATTGTGTGTGTATACTATGTTACACTTAAAATTTTAAGAGGGCAGATGTCATGTTAAGTGTTCTTACCGCAAAAAAAAAAAAGACGCCACTCACTCTTGCACCCTTGCTCTCTCTAAACTCCCAGAGCATCCAACACCATGACTTCATGTTTGTTTTCTAGTTTTTTAAATCAGATTCTCCTAAGACTTTAATTTCCTCCTTCCCTAAATGTGTCCTCACACTTTTAGTGGCCTCCACACCCCTAAAGAACAAGGGAATTCTCTACTGCTCTGCTTAGCCGCATCAAACCATGCCCTGTCCACCTCTTTCTCCGTCATCACACCTTCCAAAGACAACCAGGTACAAGGATCCGACAGGGGACCAGAGCAGCAGAAGCATCTGTATCCTCAGTCCCAGGTCTCGTATGTTAACTGGGCCTGGAATGTGACGAGTCTTTGCTCTTCATTTTTCTCCTCCCTTTATTCAGGAGGATGTGGAGCGTTTACATAACCTAAAGAAGCTCTAATCTGCCTCCTGGTTGAATTCTTTAGCCATTTCACTCAAGCTGCATCAAATTTCTAGACTGTATCATGGAACCATAAAATGTGAGAAGAGGCCCCAGAGACATCTAGCCAAAACATCTCATTTTATGGAAGAAAAAATTGAAACCTAGGCAGGTGAATAAAAAATACAAGCTTTCATAATTTGTGAGAAAAGCAGTGTAGATGTATGGTGAGTAAAAGAGAGAGGAAAAGCAGGATATTTTTAGATGGTAGGTGGCCCAGATGACAGTTTTTGGGTGGTACTTTTTGGCTTCTTGATTTAAAAATTGGAAACATGTGATGTTACTGTTGACTATATGTGGTGATGTAATAAACGATTGCTGTGTGGGAATGTCTACATGTTCTTCAAAATTAAAAAGAAGACTCATTCTCATCCTCTGAGTCAGGGCTCTCATAGCTCACAGATGCCGATTCCTTCTTGTACTGATAAACTTTATTCACTCATGCATCCACTTATTCAATCAGTCATCATAAATCTTTCAGTCTACTAAAGACCATAAGATACATATTGGTTTTTAGAAAGATGTTCTAATAGATTGCAAAAATTCCTTTTGTTTCAAAGAAAATGCAGTGCTTATATTTTTTGTTAATGTTAAAAATTAGGGCCAAGCTAGTAATTTTAATATATCTTCCAAAGCACAGCATCTAGCTTTTGATATGAGTCCTATTTATATGCCACTTAAATGGTTCATAGACAGATTTATTCAGGCAAAATAGTTACATATGTTGTGAATCATGTATGTCACCGGCAATTCATTTGTCTTCAAATTTGCCACAAATTTTTAGCAGTTCTAATTTTCCTACTTGGTAAGAAAACTGTGAGATCGCATCAACTTGCCTGTGAGGGCAGTTTCTTCTCCTTAGGGCAAGGATTCATGAGAGCGGGGTTCCATGTTGACTGGGCATGCCCTTGAATGTATTTCTAAGTCTCCAACTTAGGCTAAAAAAAAACAACTGAAAAAAATTTCCGATTTATCTACCAAAGAGAACAGAATGGATGATTAAGATGATTCTGGAAAAATACCACAAACCGAATGTTGGGGCAGTGTAACCACTTTTAAACAGTTGGCGTAACTGTCAATGGTTTTTGTAGTTTTATGCCCATCTTCTGTCTACAAAGGAGATAATGAGAGCCATAAACCCACTTCCTGATGCTGCTGAGGGAGGGGAGGGAGGTCTAAGAAGGCTCTTGGATCTGGGAAACAGAGAGGTTTATGAGCAGAGGGGAGGTAACGCTTTAGCTCTGTGTCCATGCTGCTGGCACACAGATACACTGCTGAGTCCCTCAAGCCTGGCGAGCGGATGCCAAGAGAACAGAAGGACGTGTTGGGCCGGCTGGGGTGGAAGTTGTCAGAGGTGTCTGTTTCATTGTAAAATTCCTGATCATAGTAGTAGAACAGCAGCTTTGGTGCTTGGCTCAGCTTCTGTTGGTACCAGTACATGGTATCATGATTCAGATTCTGAGAACAACTCAGGGTCACTGCTTTTCCCTTTCTCGTAATCTGGTATCTCGGATTCTGGATGAGCATGGCACTCAAGTGACCTACAGAGAGAAGGAAAATTTAGAGACAGAATCAAGCAGGAGACAGGGGTAAAATGAAGGCACGTAACTGAGGACGTGATAGCTTTAGTTAAAAATGTCCTTTCTGATCGGGACACACCTGCTGCAAGGAGACAAAGGGCCGCACAGTGGAGAAGCCTGAGACCCATGGCAGAGTCACAACAGGAACGAGGCGTCTCTCTGTGCCAGACTCTGGGTTGAGAGGCGGGAGTTCGGGGAGCCCCTGGTCCTTGATAGGTAGATCTGCCTGTGATGACAGGGCTGCTGTTGACCTCACCAGGACGAGGGTCACTCCTTGGTGTGATAATAGACACAGCTTCCTACTTGGCAGGGGAATCTGGGCTAGGCTGGATCAGTTATGAAGCAGATGTGGCGTTCCCTTATTTGTCCCTGTTCCTGTATCCACCCCATGTCCATACAGGCCTCTCCATCTCACTCTTTCTTTCTTAAATCCTATAAGGCAGCTCAGAGGTTCCTCAACACAGGAATAGCTTTCGCTAAAGTCTCACTTAAAAACCTGCTGAGATCATGTCTTTGTGTTTTGTTATCCATGTCACAGATGAATGACTGACATCGGCAATCTATCCCCATCTTAGTACAGAAACCAAGCCCTGGAATTCCTCTGTCTGGGTACACTTTTCAGAGTATCAAGGAAATTCTCTGCAACATTTGGCTACCCGTGACACCATAGTGTCTCCTTGTGGCCAGTAGAAAAGTGTCTAGAAGCAACCTTCCTACACTGGAGAAATTGGTGCCATAGGGTAAGATAAAGTAGGGCTTTGAACAGTATCTAGTTCCTCATTCTGCTCCTACTGGATCTGTAACCCTGAGATCACCACAACCCCAGTGTCCAGCCTTCTAAGATTAATGTAGCCCTATTGCAGCAACTGGAAGTTACCTCAGAAGGTTCAGGACTGGCTGACATACATCCATATATAGCAAAACTCGTGTTTTTTACATTAAAAAATCAGACCTTACTGATAAAGGAAAATTAACATTAATCTCTAAAAATTGACCTAGCTATTCCACTCAAAAAGAGATTTTAAAAAGTATTTGGACATAGATTTGTGCTAGACAAATGTAACTTAAACTTATCACCATCATGCCCACCATTATCAGTGAGCAACCTGCAACCAGTAGTAAATGCATTTTTATTCACTATTTTAATTTCCTTCAGGGACACTTGTTTATCTGGTGATAAGAAGGGATGTGAAGATGTGGCCACAACGAGAATCATAATTCCTTTCAGATGAGAGCAGGGAGGTTGGCAAGAAGCTGCTGTACTTTCACCAGGATCACACACACACGCGCTTAAAAAACAGAAATGCGTAGATAGAGTCCTGTGTAAGGAACGTGAGAAATCCCCCAAATCACAAATATCCCCACCAAAATTTTCTTGAAACACAATTCTGGTTCTCTCTCTCTTCTTTTGCTGGGGCACGAGGCACAAGGATAGACTTCTGTTTAGGGCTGCCATGAGTTGAGAGGAGAGGGGAGAAGGGTCCGGTTTTTTACAGGAAGGGCATGACTCTGAAGCACTGTGTCTTGGCTGCTGGCACAGAAATAAACTCCAGAGTCCTCCAGCTCTGCAGGCTGGATCTTCAGAGTGGAATACGTCCCTTCAGTCCTCTCAGCTGAGAACCTATCCTTAGGCATCTCTGACTCATCCTGTTTAGACTCTCTTAGGAAGTATACCAGAAATTTTATCTCTTTCCCCACAACACGTCGGTACCAATAAAGACCTTCATGCCCAGAAATTGGGTCACATCTCAGAGTCACAGCTTGTTCCTTCTCTATGACCGTGTGGCTGGGGAACTGAATGACCCCAGCTGATGTGTGTCCTGTGGGAAAAGACAAGAACATAGAACACATGACAAGTGTGGACGGGGAGAGGGCCAAGTGGAGATACTTACATTTGTAAGGACTCACTTGCGCCCAGGAGACAAAGGGACGCTAAGCTGAGAAGCATGGACACCATGGCAGGATTCAGATAAAAAGGAGAATTTTCCAGATGAGGGAGCTTGTAAGTATGAGCAGAAATGAAAGCAAATCCTTGTACCCTTGGTCCTAGAAGGTGTGGCCTGGCAGTGACATCACTGTGTTAGCCAATGTCCGCAGTCTCAGGGGCTCCCTCTAGGGAAGTACGAGTATAGAAGAAAGAGAAAGTTTTCTCTGAAGGTCACCCCTTGAGGGAATGATAGAGAAGAACTGATGCCAATAAAAATTGACCTGTTTATGTTTTTAAATAGATATTAACCTCATATATATTCATGAAGAAGTCACCACTCATAACTCCTGAGTCCAATGTCTAGACTTTACCCCATCCCACCAAGCCCTAGCTTCTCTCATGTATCACATCCCTAAAGACTGTGGGACATTTCCACTTAAAGTGCCCACTGTTGCTATTCTTGCTATTTCTAATTACCAGTACTTGATATCTCAAAGTTCTCTTTTCCCATTCTCTCTTAAATCTGCTCCAATCAAGACTTGGGTGCCACCACTCTCAAGTTCAGTATGCTATGAAAATTAAAAATCATCCTCAACTCTGCTCCACCAGCAACCTTCTGGTTGATACAGCTGAAAACCTTATTGTTTACTTGAAGCCTCTGTTGTTGTTGACTTGAGTTTTCTGTGACTCTTCTTTTTCTATTTCACCCTATAACCAACCCACTGGGAAATTCAACGTACTCTATCATCAAAATATATACAGAATACATCCTTTTTTTTTTTGGTGAGGAAGATCAGCCCTGAGCTAACATCTGTTGCCAATCCTCCTCTTTTTACTGAGGAAGACTGGCCCCGGGCTAACATCTGTGCCCATCTTCCTCCACTTTATATATAGGACGCAGCCACAACGTAGCTTGATAAGTGGTGCATAGGTCCATGCACAGGATCCGAACCTGCGAACCCAAGGCTGCCTAAGCGGAGCATGCAAACTTAACCACTACACCAGCCCTGAATCTGTCCATTTTTCATCACCTTCACAGTTAACAGTCTTCACCAAACCACCACCATCTTTCGCTTGTATTACTGCAATAGATTCTTAACTAGTCTCCCTGCTTCTACCTTACTTCCTAACTAGCCGTCAAACTAAGCTTTCTAGGACATAGCGTCTCATGTCACTCACCTGCTCCAAATCATCTGCTGTCAATTTCATTCAGAGAAAGAGAGTAAAGCTCATAGGCCTTCAAGGTCTTGTAGGATCCACCCACCGATTACCTCTCTGACATAAGCTCCTACTCTCTTCCTTCATTTTTCAGTCACGTTGGCCTCCTCGTTGGTCCTTGAGTGTCTGTTAAGGCCTTTGTACCAGCTTTTCCCTCTGCCTGGAATGGTCTTCCCTTAGATGTCTGCATGTCTCTCTCCTTCATCTCCTTGAAGTCTTTGCTCAAAGGTCACTTTCTCATTGGGCCCTACCCTGGAAAACTTATTGACAGTTTCAACACTCCTTACTCAGGCAGTCCTGGTCCCCCTACCCTAGTCTGCTTTTTCTTTTCTCCATAGCAGGTACCACCTTCTAATATAATATATAACATTTTTATTCATTATGATTATTGTTTGTTTTCTCTCTCTCTCCCGTCCAATAAATATCATGAAGACATAAGTTTTTTCTTCTTTTTATTTTTTATTGATGTATGCCCAGAACTTAAAACAAAGCCTGAAACTCTTTGGAAAGGAGGAAATGCTGGAATTCAATCTTGAAAGAAAATTAGAGTTTCTCAGTGGTCCGTGGAAGACACGCCCCAGAAGCAAGGATAAAAAGTCTACTGGGGGCCGGCCCGGTGGTGTAGCGGTTAAGTTTGCATGTTCCACTTCAGTGGCCCGAGATTCGCCGGCTCGGATCCTAGGCGCGGACCTACTCACTGCTTATCACGCCGTGCTGAGGTGATATCCCACGTAGGAGAACTACAAGGACCTACAACTGGGATATACAACTATGTACTGGGGCTTTGGGGAGAAAAAAGAACAAGAGAGGAAGACTGGCAAAAGATGTTAGCTCAGGGCAAGTCTTCCTCAAAAAAAAAAAAATCTGCTGGTATTTTGATTGTGATTGTGTTGAATCCACAGATCAATTTAGAGAGAATTATCATTTTAACAATTTTGAGTTTTTTAATCCATGAACAGAGAACATCTTTCCAATTATTTAGATTTTTATTTTCTTTCAGTAAGGTTTTACAGTTTTGCTATGTTCATGTCTTGCATTCATTTTGTTAAATTTATTCCTAAGTGATTTTACTCCTTTTGTTGTTATGCATGAAATTGTTTTCTCGGTTTCTTTTCCAGTTGGTTGATAGTGTATAGAAATACAATTGATATTTGTATATTTTTGTATATTGATCTTGTATCCTGAGGTCTTATTAAGTATATTTCTCAGTTAAAAAAACAAAACAAACATCAGAGCGTAGAGCATATAGGAGCTTAGCAAACATATATTATATAAACAGCTGTTCCAATAGCACCTCAAACTTAAGATATCAAAAGATTAACTCAACATATAAGCTTCAAGTCAGCTCCCTGGACTTTCCTTTCTATTAATCATAGAGGCTCAAAACCATGCAATTATACACTGCCTCAGATTTGTTCTGGAAGCATTCAGAATTCTCTAGCATGCTTGGAGTTACAAGAGCTGAATTCATGTCTTGGGCACTGAGCTGATCTGAGAGCTTGCATTTCTTCCATAGGTCTTGATGCAATATTATATTCCTTGTCTGTAGCACAGTGACTCATGTCATAGCAAGTATCTAATGATGATAGTTTTCTCTGCCATATCTACAGAAGGAATCTGACATTTATTGATACTTTAAACTGTGGAATTCATTGTACAACAAAAAATTATGTTTTTTTTCCTTAGGGAAGAAAAGATTAGTTTCTTAGGGAAGTCTGACCTACATTTATGGTAATCATAATTTGACTTTCATCCTTTAACACAGCTCTCAATCATTCTTCCGTAATTTATACAGGACCTCCTTTCATTCATAGAGTAATGGGAGTCTCAAACTCATTTTCTATCACTACAGTTTGGAGATAGCTGTTAGATAAAAACATGAGAGTGAGGTTTACAAACAATAATATGAGGACACGGGTTTCTTGACCTAGTGTCAGATTAACAGCACATGTTGGAGTGTATTGATTTCCTGTGTCTGCTGGGACAAATTACCACAAACTGGATTGCTTAAAATAACAGAGAG